CCAAAAGAAGGGAGTAAAATTCAAGCATATTTGTGGAGTCTCGTACTCATCTACCATGAAAACTTCATTCAAGGCATCTTGTGGAGTCGCATACTCAGCTGCCAACAAGTCAAACACATGAAGTAAACTATTTTCAAGGTGGTTTCATCTTTTCTATTAATTATCTCTCTTTTCTAGTCTTTATTTACTACGTACGAAGTGCCCCGCCAATCATCGAAAGGCGTACTACGACCGAGTGAGATTTTTTTAACACAATACAGACACAAATGCTCATATATACGCGCATACGCTCACCCCTATTAACGTACACACGCACACCCTACTCCTATGAGCACCTCCAAGAGACTGAACCAGCATATCATCTTGAGATTTTACGAAGTCACTGTAGACGCCTCGTAGTCAACGGGAATGTCTTTTCCCACTGAACACGCATTGCCGGAAATCCTAAAATAAATCCAGGATAAATACAAGCACCAGGAACCTAGTGGATTGAGATGCCACTGTCCACCTAACCATCCAGTCACAAGTTGGTTCGCACCGAGTAAAATTTATGAAATGTCAAACAGCTCCAGACAACCCCATCTAATTATTTACGCCCTCGGATCCGGATCAGAGGGAGTGTATCTTTTGTAACAAACCTAGATTTTCCCTTCGGCCAAGCCCATGGACGATGGAAATTCGCCCACATCTTCACCAGGAGTCCAGGCCCACCCTTTCCGAGTGATCAGTTTTGTCAGGCACTGCTGGAACTTGGAACAGATGGAGACAGCAGGCGTGTCGACCGGGGCAAAATTCCACAAGAATTCCACAGCCGCGCTCTTCTTGGCATCTGATTTGGCACCATCAGGCTGGCTCTCACCGGCTGACGATCCGCCCGTCGGGTCCGGTCGCTCTACGCGATCACGGCGGATCTCAGGGGTGGATGGAGACCCTGGCTCCAAGATGAAATTTTGTCTTGGAATTCTGGGGATCCGGGACGAGTGCTACCTGAAAGTTTTGACGGATTTCCGTCCAGACAATAAAAGGCAGAATTTGATGGTGAAATGAAAGCTGCTCAATCACTGTGTTGCTTGAGCACAACCTGATGGGTCAACAGTTGCAAAACTTGTTCTCGCTTTCTCATCTCAACGGTCAAAGTCCAGAGAAGTGATGATGTGTGTCATCGTTGGTTTTTGGTTCAACATATTCTGGTTCAGCAGTCCCATTCCCGATGACCATAACCATATGATGCATCACTTTCTCCTTTTGACCCATGATGCACAAGAACAAGATGAGCATCCATGACCACACAGGTTTGACAAAATGGCAATTTTATTCTACTATACTGGTTGGTATACATAATTGTATGGATTGTCATCATCATCATCGTCCACAGTGGTAGTAAGCATAAGAGCAAAACATCTTTGCTTCACAAGTACTACTACTCCTATATATAGTGCCTATAAAAAGTGGCTCTGCCTGGAACCAGTCTACCCAGGAGCTGCATCCACATGCCTCCCTTTGTTTGTGCAAAGGAGGCTTCACTTGCATTGCATACATACATGATACATACAGCTACCATGCTCCTAGGCCTAGATACATCTCGAGTCGAATCCGCTGAATGCCGTGTTGCGGGCTCGGGCAAACGGGCTATGATATATACATGACTCTGCCGCACGAGGTGTCGGTCATCGACCAATCGTCCTAGAGCGCATACATCGTCTTGTTTCTGCTGGTCATGTCTAGCTCCGTGTCCGAGTCGACTGATATGGACCATGACTGGCTCATGGAGGACCTCCTGATCCTCCTCATGCTCTGCGCTTCCATCCTGTGGCTGATGATGCAATAGCACATAGAACCAATGGTGGTGAGCATAATCACGGTGCCGATCGCCATCGTGCACCAGGCCAGCCACTCGTCATTGCGGCCCACCACGACATAGGTCAGCGCTATGAAGGCTGCTGATATGCAGAGGCACGCGAGCCACATCAACTTGTTCATCACAAACACCATCTTCTGCTTCGCCTTCTGCTCAACAACAATCAGGGAAGTCTGGACGACGACGACCGCAAGCGAGATAAAGAGAGCCAGGGAATCGAAGACCAGGAAGATTATAAAGGCTGGCCTGCTTGCTACCAGTGCTTGCCCTAAGCTCATATGGGGCTCAGTCGCTTTGTCCATACTCTCAAGAAAATTACCAGGAACGGTGAATATGGATGCAAAGGCAACCGTGGCAATAAGTACTGCGACAACGGTATTGGAGTTGATGGCATTGTTTAGCCCGCCAATGTGGAGCTTCTGAATCCTCTTCTTGATCTTGTGGACATGCATCTTGGTCTGACGCGTTTGCTTGATCTGTGACTGGACGTCATGCTTGATATCGCTCACTGTTTGCTTAAGCTGCTTGGCTGATTTCGGAGGATTTACTTGCTCTTTTGCAGTTATTCCACCAACCTCCCGCAGGATGTTAACAAGCTCTTCGTTGCCTTGTTTCTCTGCAATGGCAAAAGCAGTCTCTCCAGCCTTATTGACTGCATTGATATCAATCTCTTCAATGGATATTAAAGTCTGAACCATCTGTAAAAATGACACAAATATCAAAGGATGCAAGTATGCCCAAGTCCACTAAAATTCTGGTTGAAACTGTTTAGAACTTCATGGTTTTGTCAAGTCTATGAAAAGAAATATTTCCACTATATTTGTGCATGGCCATGGTGGAGTGCAAATTTCTTTAAAATTATGTTCTAGAACATCTAACAATGCTAGTTTAAGCAAGGAATCTCTTGCAAATGAACATAGAATGGACAGGAAATAATATACAGCAACAAATTATTAACACCTGAAGAAAGACATAATGAAGAAAACGCAAGATATTTCTGAGATATGAGAACCTACAACGGTGTTGCCCTTGCGCGTTGCAACATGCAGTGCCCTATTCCCCTTGTTATCCTCCAAATGGATTACTGAGACATTGGGCTTCAATAGCTCAAGCAGAATTTCAGCATTCTGGCCTTTAGAAGCCATGTGCAGTGCTGTTTGACCCTTCCTGTCTGTTCTGAAACCAATATCTGGATCTTTATTCAACAACGACGCTACCACCTCCACATGACCCATTCTTGCGGCCGAATGCAAAACTGTCTTCCCGTTACTTCTTGCGATCCTGGCAAGGCTTGCGTCTGTATCCAGTAGAAGATTGACGATACCAATGTGGCCCTGCGTTGCGGCGGTGTCTAAAGCTGTGGCATTCACAGAACTCGTCGTCATAGCTAACGCAGGAAATGCCTGCAATAGCTCCTGCAGAACATCTGCGAAACAAAGTACGGAGCATCTCTATATGAGTTGAAATGACTGGACAATAACGCTAAGCCAAACATCCACGAAGATACAACTATCATAATAGTCAGGATCAGCAGTAGGGCAGTGGTTTGGTCTCCTCCACTGCCTACTATTAAAAGTTTCATGAGTTGATTTGTTTCAGCACAGATTGCTGGCACAATAAAAAGATATGTACGATGAAGCAACATTTCATTATCTCACTAATTATTCATATCTGATGCACTTGTTTGGGTACATCAACACATATTGCAACAGCAACATATCATACATAAAAGATAACTGTGAATCCATGGTCAGTTTTGCCTGTCAAACCAAGCAAAGCAGGAAAGATGAGCTGGAATGTGGACCAATAGGTACACCATTCTTGATTGGAATGTGGACCAAAAATTTAATGCAGAAGTAAATGCTCTAGTACCACATGTTCAGAAGGAAATGAATGAGAGAAAAACATTCATTGCAATCACAACGAATTACTAGGAATTTTGCCAAAGTCAAAGGAATACAAGTCATTTTTTATAAGACAAAGAAATGTGCAACTATAAACAAGCTAGCCTGAATGGTTCCACTGATCAGCTCACCACACCCACACACTAAAGAAATGCAATTCAAGGTTCAAACAGCCATAATCATTAAATCATTGACTTGACAGACAGAGTTCATTGTGACTAAACAAACAGAGGTTTTCTAATGCCACAATCAGCGATGAACTGAAAGAAGTAGAGATGAGAACTAACCCAGATGGCCCTGTTTCGCAGCGATATGGAAGGCATCGAAGCTGTTGGCCGCCTTGAGCCCTGCTGACTGCACGTCGCAGGCCTTGAGTATCTCGCACACGACGTCGACGTGCCCCTTCTCGGCGGCCACGTAGAGCGCCGTCTCGCCGTCCAGGTTCTGGTGGGCGGCCAGCTCCCCCACCAGCTCCGGATCGCAGTCGGCGAAGATCCTCTGGGCGTGGGAGACATTGCCGGCCCTCGCCGCGAGGTGGAGCGCGCTGTCGCCCCTCTTGCCGGGGCTGTCCCGGCTCCGCCTCTCCTTGAAGCTCTGCTGCTTCTCCATGGACAGGAACTTGAAGCTCCTCTGCTTCTCTATGCCCCGGAAGCTCTTGAGCTTCTCCAGCGCGCCGAACCGGGAGCTGGACTGCCTCTCCATCGCCAAATCCAGTGGCAGAGTA